AGCACCAACAGTATTTCCCTAGGGATGCATTTGAGTGATTCACTTCAGTGTTTTAACACAGGTAACTGCATCACCAGTTGTAACAAATAAAAAAGCCCCCAAAATCCCACCAAAAAAAACCCCTATAGCAATATGACTCATTTATTTGAGACCACTGCTCTTGTGAGAAAGAAATTACATTTCCCACATCCTTGTAACCTTTTCTACCCTGTGGCTCACTCAGGGATACAGTTCTAACTGTTGAACTGTGGGAACCAATTTCAAATAGAGAAGAAAAATAGCTTTTGAAGACAAAGTCTCACTCAAGGTAAGCCATGATGAAGACTTAAGAGGGGAGTCTGTCTTCTTCTTTTACTCCAGTTAGAAACAAAGAGCCAAGCTCAGATATATGATCTATTACACTTCTTTAGAGGAAAACTTTCAATATGGGCAAGTTCTTGCAAACTGCTGGCATTTCTTCTGTTGTGCAGAACACCCTTTAAGTCTGATTCTGAATGAGAAAGGGTGAGATTGTGAAAATCCCATTTTTTTAGAGGAGATTATTGCACCTTGCTGAATGGGTGAGTACCAGACAAAAGCATTATATTAACCTTTCTAAAATGCACTGAAAAAACACAAGGTCTTTTTGCTAATAATAACATTTCAGACATTCAAAATCAATTGAGATTTTAACACAGGGCTGTATGCAATCAGGAATGGAAGCTAAGCTTAGGTGTATAGTTGTTCTATAAGTAAAATATACAGCAAGAGATCAAGCCTGAGCCTGCAGATGTATTTACTAAAGTGTGTACAGAATCAGTGCAGTGGCTAATAGTCCAGGAGTAGAAGTTCCTATGCTCAGGACTTGTAAATCTGGCAATTCAAAACCTGAAAGTAGTTAGGAAGTTCTCACTGCAGAGGCCAGAGAGGATTTTGTGGCTTTTATGCAAGCCTGGGATCAGTGCAACGCTGTCTCTGTGAGATGCTGCTTACACCACCAGTCACAACTGCACTGCAACAGCAGAGAAACCCTCTCTCTGCCTTCATACCTGGTCCATCAGATTTCTTCTTGACAGGTTCCTCTTCACTGTCTTCACAGTCTGCATCAGTACCACCTGTTGAAAACAATGAACAAAACAGTGAGTGTTACTATAGAAGTGCGGGTGTAAATGCCATTCAAGATATAAAATGCTACAGTTACTAAGCAGTAGTGACTTGTTCCTCACCTGCCACTACAACAGAAAGCGCATTTCCATTTCTAAAGGACTCAAGTGAGGGGACAACACTGTCAGCGAAGGCGTTCATGGATGACCACCCCTCTCGTAATTCGCAGTGGCATTTTTTTCTAGATAGGCTGCTGAGCAAGATCATCTGCTGGTGTAAACCTAGACAATTTCTCAGTCACACTGCTTCCACCCTCAGCAGCCTCACCTTCCGCTGACTCACACTCGAGCTCATTTCTTCAGCTTCTGCAAAGGGCAGCCTGATCAGTGCTCTGATCTTCTCTTGCCTCTGACCCAGCAAACACAAATGAACTGAGTGGGACCTTCAGGTTGAAATAAGCAGCAGAGTTGGTTTGAGCCTACCACGTGCTTTTATTTAGGCCTGTATCAGAGAGCGATGTAGAGTCACAGGCAGGACTGAAGGGCAGATGAATGACTCTCCTATCTAATATCCAATAACTGCAGCTACAGCTTCAGTGGCAGCAGTCAAATTATAAAGCTCCCTCTTTTCGATGGGTGAGGATGCCAAATGGAGGAAAAGTCCAGCTGATTCAGCCTGAATGGGCCCCCCATCTCCCCTTCTATAGCGACCAGAAAACCTTTGAATTTCTATCTTTTCTCTTGTTTAAAAAAGAAGCAAAAAATGAAGAGATATGAACCACTTACAAACTGATTTTTTCCAGAGGTATGAATGATTTTACAGTGCCAGTAAAACCCTATTAACATTTGTATGTTTTCCTTTTGCTGCCTGCTGAATTCACTGTGAATTTAGGGGTTCATGGATATTTGGGCTCCTCACTGAGTACAGCATGGAAAGTGAAAAACATTTCTGGATATTCTTCCCCACATATCAACTCAAGCTTCTTTAGGGAATGATGTAGGAAATGCAGAAAAGAAATAATATGTTGCTATTTCATTGAATTTTTCTTACAGCTCCACTTGAACTACAGCTCTTCAGGAACTTCCTCATGAAATAGTTCTTCAACACAAAACATAAGTCTGTCACATGCAAAACTTTCCCTGGGAATACATGTGAATTTATCATCAAAATGAGAGACTTTGAGCAACTCTAGAAAAACCTGGAGAGTAAGATAAACCTTTTTATGAGGTGAGGGAGTGAAAAGGTAATGTCCTTGCTCTGCCTAATTCTAGCCAAACACCTGGCGTTTACACTCCCATGTTCTGGAGAAATGCTGTTAACTACCAGGTTATTTGCTTTATAAAGTTACGCCTTCACAGGTTATGGCTTTCTCTTGCAAGACTCCACTTCCACAAATGTTTTCATCCAGCTGATGTTTTCTGCAATGTGTTGCGTCTTCCTATTTGGCAGAAGTTCTGGGCATGTGTCTTGCAACTCCATGGAAAACAAATATATATCCCCTCTTCTCCTTTATCTCGCCCAATGTGCATTGTGTAGAATGAAAGGACACAGCTATGGCTGGCCTTGTCATGGGCTGGGGCGGGGAGAGACAGCCAGCCAAAGGTAAGCTCATTTTTCCAGTTCCTAGCCAGAACTGAGAGCACTTGCCCTCTAAAACTCAGCTGCCTTTCACTACCATGAAAAACAGGCAGTCTAGTTAACACTAAATTATTTTAAAATACAGAAGTCTACCTACCATCCCCAGATCCTTTTCGCCTTCGCTTCTCCTCTTTCCCAAAACTTTTCTTAGCTTTGCGCCTCTGTCGTAGTGCTGTTTTAGGGTCAGTAATCCAGGCCTGATAAACAAACTGGAAGGAAAAAACTCATTTATTTCAACGTTCTTCATGTTTTGAGAGTAAGCCATAGAATAAGCCACAAGCAGGACTATATAGTTTGAGTAAATGCATTCAGATCTGCAAGGCTAAGGAAATATTTTGAATCCCAAATCAAACACCTCCCCTGCAGATCTGCTGAGTTTTCATGTGCTATTTTTGCAAGCATAAAACCAAATGTGAAAACACTTGTGGGTGAACCAAGTTTCATTAGAACCCACAAAAATTTATGCTCTGAACTTTGGGAATTAATACCCTGTTGTGCATATGGCCTACTTCACCTGAATCTCTCAGTTTAATTCTGTATTTCTACTTTATCATTTTACAGGCAATATGCAGAGTAATGGAAACTTTAAGAGAAAGTGCTGCAATCAACTAACTAAAGCGCCAAAAGATGTACTGAAATCTCAGTACAGGTATTTGTGCTTGTACATTTTTCATACTTTAGGTATTTTTTTTCCACTCTGCAGATCCCAGTGGAACATTTACAGATTTGCTGTCTATGCAGAGTCCCAAACCTGGCAGTCAGGAATTCCTCAAATTTCATCCTGGTTTTGACAATGAATCCCTTTGTTGCTTCAGATAAGTCACTTATGAATCCTTCTGCTACTGTTTCCCCAGTTGTAAAATGAAGACAGTAATACTTACCTATATATCAAGGGAATTTTATGGGGCCAAATCCTGCCACAGCACTCACTCAGATCAACAGTCTGTTGACCTGTTTGACTACATGAAGCATGGAATTGGCCCAACATATTTATAAAAGCTATAGCAGTGGGGGGAAAAAAAAGGCAAAAAAAAGTTACCCAGAAGTAACTGCTCAAGCTGTGAAGGAAGGTTACAGAAAAAAACCCGGTAACACTCATATCTTTTTTCCCCATAAGACATAAAATGTGAATAACGGAAACTAAAGTAACTCTGTCTTCTCCACAACTCTTTTGGACAAAAGATGTTCTTTTGCTCCTTTCATGGTTTTAATTGAAAAATGGTAATCACCTTCAATTGGCACTGCATTGTCTTCTATTTCTAAGCAACACAGGCTGGTTTAACAGAGACAGGGCAGGGAAGCACACAGATGCAGGCATGAGGGTGAAAATAAAGCACAGTAACAAAACAGCTCTATTAATTCACAAGACAAACATGCAGACAATGGCAACACCACACATGTATCTCAGTGAAGCTGGAACTGCTCCTCATAAGACAGAATGGTAAAATTTCTATTTGGTTTATTTATATTTTAAAGATTTACATACACAAATTGTTTTGGAACATTAAAAGCAATTTTTTAGAATGGTCAAACAGACTTTAAATGAATTTAAAAGGGAAAAATACTTTGTTCTGTTTTGTGAATATGTACAACAATGAAAAGGAAATTATTTTGGTATTGTTGATAAGAAGGTCCTCTTCCAAATCTCTCAAGGTCTGTACATTTATTTTTATATGCCTGACTTGTTCAAAACAAGCGCCACATGAGAAATTGTGTGGGATCAGAGGCACTGGTTCCACTTTGCTTTGCAATAGGTGTTTTCTAATGAAGGTGATCTGGAGAAATGGTGATACTTAAGTGAACTAATACCATATTACTTACTGAAAGTCAGAAACTGTCAACATTTGCTATTGAACAGTTAGCTAGCCACAGTCATAGCGTGAATAAAGAAATTAGAGGTAAAAGGCAGACTTGGAAGAGGGTAGAAGATTAGAATGAAGAAAGGGCATTTGATTAATAAATTTAATGTAACTACTTATGCTAAGCAGCAGTATTTTAAGAGCTGACTGGGTGCATACATATGTATTACTTCATATTTTTACCATTGGACAAACTTTAAATGCAGCATCTTTTAGGCTTTGGAGCTGGTACGCTCAATCTGTAATGCTCACTCCTTACAAATATCATGTTACTTATATGGAGTATAAAATGACACACAGTGCTCAAAGGTAGGAAATGCTAAATGTATTCAAGGAGGACAAGAAAGAAGATGCACAAATCTTTTTTATGATGATGAAGGCCAGACAAGTAGAGAGCTAAAAAGGGGGTTGGAGCAGAATGTCTGTTTTACAAACTTTTTACCAGCTTTCTGAGATCAATTACCACGGTGTCCATAAGATACATGCAACTTGATGTGACCATCTTGTATAGCAGTATCAGAAAATGAGAATTTGAGTCTGCATTTTCTCTCCGGGGTTGCACTTAAAAGAAGATGGACCACTTTTCTTGTGGCTTGACCACTCCAAAAGTATGAAATGTATTGCATTTACTAGGAATGAAGCTTTGGCTGTTATTTTTTTTAATCATTCATATAAGAGGAAAAATGCAGATGAGGACAGGGGTATGCATTATATCAGGAACTATGGGATGGGTCACATACTGAGCACTCACAAAAAAGTACCTTTGCTGCTTTGATTAAATACTGAAGAATAGTTTTGGGTAGTTTAATGACAGACTTTGGCAAGGCTAAAATGGCTGAAGCAAATTTCCCAATAGCTCTCTATAAAGAAGGACAAAGCAAGAGCAATTAGTAGAAAACAAGAAAATATTAATAAAAAGTAACTACTGAATAATTGTATCTAGCCTATTAAGAACGAATTTACATTCATAGACTCCAGTATGAAAAAAGATAATTTGTGATGTTGACAATAAAATTTCAGTAAGATGATTCTTAACTGCCTACATTCTCTAATAAATAAAATCTCCAAGTTAACCCTTGAAGTGACTACTGCACACAATTTACTCTAAAAGAAATATCAACAATTAAAATAATTCTTTAGGAGGTTCTACAACAAACAAGTTAAATTTGCTAGTATTTTTATTAAGACCATGTGCATGGTGATGGAAGGCAAATAAGGTAAGATGACCAAATGATGAAAAAGCTTTTTATAAACAAAACCAAATTTCTGTTCTCTACAACTCCCCTCCTACATAAAGCCATCCAACATCTTCATGTTGCATATATTGCAATACGGGCCACCTATAGAGAATGTCTGACCAGAATTTTGAAATAAAGACTAGATCCTCCATCCTCAGATTAATAGTTTCAGGACTGAGCTTTGAAAAATAAGACCAAATGAACAAAAACCCCCAAACCCAGAGTAAAGGAAAGAATCTTACTAGCTTCTGACCTCAAGTTTAGACCTCTTTAAAATCTCAGTGCTTGGCACCAGCACATCTGAACAAAATGTTGTCATCAATTTTTTAAAAAATCAGCAGAAACAAGAATGCAAACTTTCCTCTATAACTGCATGAAAACCAGAAAGAAAAATGACCTAGAAATTCATGAGCCATTTTTATGGTCCAAGGTGAGTTAAATGCAAAATATAAAAAAAATTAGTGTAAATAGTAGAAAATAAAACTTACTTATAATTATTTTTCATCCAGATTTGTTTTGCCTTTTTTAAGGTAATGAAAAAAACCTTTCCATGTCATTACCATGCAGGCAGTTTAACAAACGTAATCAGTTGGTAATGTAAGCATATAAACTAAAGGCACATTGTATCAATGAATTAAATAAAATATATCTTCTTGTAATTCAGTAATGTCATCTGGGAAGCTTTGTTAGAAAGCTATTGGCATAAGGAATAGAAGAGAGTGGAGGCAGTTTCTTGCTCTTGCTTGAACTGGGCTTTCAGTAATGCACCAGTTCTGCAGTGACGTGAGCTTGCATCTGGATGGGAATACTCATCTGCAAAGAGCTACCCATTTGCTTAAGCTTTTAAAGTTACAGACCTGAAAAAGTTCTGTGGTATTTCTGAAAATTCTTCAACAAGTAATACTTTAATCTTATGAAGATTAAAGCAATCCTGTACGTATGAGTATTTCACTAACTTCTTCACCCAAGTTCTTCATTTAACCCAGTGGATGCAACACCTGGTACTGTCTAACATCAACCAGTGTATATGTAGGAACCCAGTTAGGAAACTTCAGCTATCTTTTTTAACATTACAATATCCTCTTATTCAACACAGTCTGTCACTTAAAATGCAAACATATTAATTAACATTATCCTGAAAAAGAAAGGACAGAATGTGATGTGTAATTTTGTGATGTAATTGTGATGATTGTAATTTTAAATGTTAAGCTCTTTATAACCCAAGGATGTATTTCTCTGGTCCACTAGGACTGGTAATAAAAAAATTATTTTTTTTTAAAGTATGTATTCTTTTCCATGAAAAGTCGCTTATTCTTGGGACCATTTCTTCATGGGATGATAACATCTACACAAAACCAGAAAACCACTGAAGCATTGTACAGCAGTGCCAGTGCCAGAGGCAAGTCAGCTTCCTCACTTGTCCTTACTGCAATGCAGAAAAAATAAAGCTCAGATTCTTAACCTTTGTTTCTGTATTTTTGTTTTCCTCAGGCATAAGTGAATGAAGATATTATTTACTATGGTTCCTGTAGGAATTTGGCAATGCTTAGAACAGGCAAACTTGCATTTTAAACTGTCAAGAAATTTCTTTTCCAATACTTTTCAGGTCTACTTTAGATGCACTGGCTGCTTTAACATATGTGCCTGTGTTATGAGAAGCCTATGTTTTTTTCCAGATGTCAGCTATAAAGCAAATTAACATAAAGTACCTGAAATGCAGATTTTTTTCGAGGCTCTTCCTCTTCTTTTTTCTCCTCTTCCTCTTCCTCTTCACTATCCGTCTCAAACAAGTAATAATTTCCACTTCTGACCACTAAGTGAAACAAAATATTTTCTTATTTTTCTGAAAAGTTCCATTCTCAACTGCCCCAAGACCTATGAACAGCCAGCCAGTTATTTAAAAATTCATAACCAGGAGAGGTGAAAACAGAGAAGAAGCAAGAGATGAAAAGGTCTCAGGCAATTTATTTGATGTTAGTCTGCGATACTTTGGGCATAAATCAGAACTATACAAGAAGTAAGGAAAACATCACCATGAGAAGAAAACGTAAAGAAAAAGCTTGAAGTATATCAAGTTACTAAATTACGTGTTTTAGAAAAAAATGGCAATTAAGTCTAAATTAATTGGGAACTGATGGTTATTTGAGGGAGTAAAAAACAGCCCAGCAGCTAAGTAAATGAATTTATACGAACAGCACCACTGGACAAAAAATACAGAACTTCTCTTTAAAATGCTGAGGCATCCTTTAAACTATGGAATGGGATGATATTAGTTAATGCTTTCTTCAAACATTTAAGCTTTGATGAGGTAATGGAAAACCTTGGTTTGTTTAAAACAAATCACTTGGATTCTATTAACATGATTGCAAATGAGTTTCAATTTTTTGCCCATGGATTCAGAAAGATTCTGAAACCTTCATACAGTAAAGATGCACAGTGAATAAGCTAGGCCTTATATCCTTGAACAGAAGCAATGTTTTTATTTCTCAGATGGTAACAGGCCTACATGAATGAACAAGGGAAACAAAAGAAATGAAAAATAAGATAATGAGCAAGAGAAAAAACAAAATTACAGCATTACATTCAGCAGTGAAAAACTGGTAAATAATTTCCACATTTAAGCTGAAATATTTAAAGGAACAGTTACTTAGCTGAAATGTTACACAATCTGGCTATATGGAGCAATACGTATTTATATTGAAAATTATATTTAACCCTCATTATAGGTTTCTGGAAAAGTAACAATTGCTTTAATTCAATCATACCTTGAATTCTATACGGAGCCTCTGTGCACAGATGATCACACATAACTACTGTAAAAACCTCAGGGAGAGCACACTGAGAACTCTATTGAATCATAACTTCAGCTTCTAAAACTCCCTCACAGAGGGAATTTTGGGTCTCATGTGCCTAGTTATGACTTGTGACATCAATGAATGCTCTGCAGAGGGACAGAGAGTCCACTTCAGCAGTTCTAATTACTGAACTGAGGTGACCTGGACAAGCTGGAGAGGTGGGCCTGTGTGAACATC